CCGCATGAACTAGATCAGAATCCATTCTCAACAAGTTCCATAATAAGTGATCCCATTTTTTTCATTCGGTCCGGTAGAGACCAAAGGTCTTGAGCACCGATCCGCGGAACAACTCAAAAGATAAAGAAGTATCGTTCAATTTCTTCATGCTCATTCCAAGTTCGAAGTACCATTATGTTACAAATAAGAATACCCCTTCCGTTACATGATTTTCTTCTTCATATAGATAGATATAGGGATCTAATTGGGGCAATTACTTAGAATACATTTTGTGCAACAGCCCTTCCTTATCTGATAGAAAAGGATTTCCCATGATCCTGGAACCGATTCTTACCTGGGATTCGCAAAAATCCCAAGTTTGTCTATGAATAGCGGAATCTAATATATTTAGTGTCTAGAATTGATTTCTTCTGTGTAATACTTAATCGATAGGGGCTCATTGGTAAGTGCTACAAGATCTCGTACATTGTGAACCCATGGTTATGGGACCCGAAATCCAATTAGTATGGAGCAATTTTCTTTTCCAAGAGTGAAATCCCCTATATATGAATTAGAGTAAAAAAAGTGCTTTCGTTGTTGTGGAATAAGGAAGCCTTCGTAATCTTAATGCATGTATTTAAAAATTTATTCGGAGCTATTTAGAGGGGATCACCTTTTTGGGGAATATGAGCGAAGCATAATAACAAGAATATTTCTAGTGGAACCATCTTTTCACAATCCCTGGAGAGATAGTTCACTAATAGACCGAGGATAAGTAATTCTGACTTCATTCACATCCAAATCATGAATTGTTTGGAATCCTAATATTATGCAAGGAGACATTGCTTTTGCTAATTCGAATTGAAGGGTGATATAAAATCGGTCTATTTCCGGCATCATACCCATAGTTAGCGGCATTCATCCTAGTTAAAACCTCCAGCTCCGTAATCAATAGTCACGGTCGATATCGTCACTATCATCAATATCGTCCACTCACATCAATATCGTCAACTATCATCAATATTTTCGTCACTATCATCAATATCGTTCCACTAATCATCAATATCGTCCACTATCATCAATAAGAAAAGCCCTTAGGCTTGTTATCCAGGAAACTTGTTCAGAAAATACTGTAATGAAGGAAGATGAGTTTTGTCGCTTAGGTATTTGACCAAATAGGATCGTCAGTTCCTATAGAACCTATCACTTAAAATACCCCTAGAGGGGGATAGGGCTAAAGCGGAGCAAAAGGGTTTTCCATGAGATGGAAAATGAAACTATTCACCCACACGAGTTTTGTGAATAAGTGGTTGTCTGATAATAAGCAAGGAATATCCGTCTTCTGTAACAGGGATGTATTTGAACTCATAATTCATTAGATACCTTTTTTATGAATGTCAACTAAAGTATCGTAAATAATGCTCCGGGCTCTTCAATCATTGATAAACCATGAGTCATTCTTTGATAAATGATCCACTAATGCGTCAGACTCAATAGAATTTGATCAATCCTGTTTTCTGTCGTTTAGGTGAGAGAAACTATGAAACCAAGAATTCTCTTTCTTTATTCATCAATCGAATCACTGTTCGCGACCAAAAGGATTCTATTTATCATCCAAAATTTCCAAATCCACCATTTCACGTTTTTTCTTTTTCTTATCAATGAAATAAATCTCTTTACTTGTATGACTTAGATGTCTCGTTATTTCTCGAAAAAAGTTTGATTTCGCAATTGATGGGATTTGGTATGATAACTTATTGGGATCGCATTTGAGATTGATTATTTCAAAAAAATTTATTCTAGAAGCGTATTTGATTAACCCCATAAGCGGGACCACCACCCCATAGCATGTTGCCGCCAGAAGCAAAAACCCCGCATTTCTTCTTAGAAAATCTCCTAATTTGTTCCATAGCAACTAGAAAGAGATTCTTTAACCAGAAAGAGAATTCATTCAGATGTAGGATACCTATCCAGAAGTTTCGCAACTCAATCACTGTATGATGGAATCATTCAAAGATTTGACCTTTTCGAACTCTGTCTGTAACTCACTATAGGCCTCGGGAAAACAAAGAGAAGATGTGTAACGAAACAGATATCCAAGCAACAAGAAGAAGGAAAGGATTTTGAATAGAGGAAACTCCCGAACTATTTGGCGAATCTTTCAGATGTGTCCTATATCAATGCTGGCTCATTATTTCGGATTGAATATTTTCTTCGGGACAGAAGAAGATTTATGTAAAAACACTTACTCCGAAATCTCACTTATCAGATTCCATTGTGGGAAGACACCATTTTTTCTGAAGAATTCGCCATGATATATCTTGATCCGTGCATAATATCATTGAAAAATGGATACAAATTTTTGACTGCTACTTAGAATCGGTAATAGGTCCTGAAAAGGTATCTAAAATATCAAATTTAATATTTGTTACCCTGTCGAAGTAAGGAACCATTGGCATATATGTTTGAATAGATTCCATTTCTATGAGAGTTGAAAAAAGCACTATTCGTTGAAAGGTTCGTATACATCTTGCCCTTTTTCAACACATTTCTTTAGACAAAAGACTCCGTTTTTTCCTTCTTTTCGGATGGTAAATATTCTCAGAACATGGAGTGTGAATCAACCCATGTTTGAATTTGAAATTGAAGATACTTGATGCCAAGTTCTTCCCTTCTGAATTCAGATTAGATTCATATCCGAAAGAGGTTGACAATAAAAGTTCTTTCAAAATTGACACTATTTGATTCCCTCTGTTAGAGGTGTGTTCCGAAATGTCTGCGATCAAATAAATGCTCTACGAACGAAATGGATCGATTTCCGAATTGGAAAATGGAAAGGATTTGTTTACAAGTTATACCTTTCGTTACCACTTTTGTGGAAAATCATTAGGTATGAATATGTTAGATTTTACCTGTGACTCGATTGGTAAAATAGTATCTCTCTCCCCAAAAGCATGTTTTTTTTTACCGCCGCACAAAGAAAATATTTTTGTGCGGAATGAACAAGATATTGAGGAATTGTCCATACGTTAAAAATCATAATTCTTGATTACGGGGCCTTTTCCACTAAAAAAGGGAATCTTTGTTTTGTTACAATAGAAGCAGAAGTGATGTAGATTATTCAAGCAATCGAAGTCGATTTTGATTATTCAAGAATCGAAGTCGATTTGCTTTATAAAAAGAAGATATCAATGAACTTCTATGAAATGGTTTCACGGGATTCAGCCAATTGTCTTGATCGTGGGATATCATTGAGAAATCCATGTTATCAAAAGATTTCCTGCGATTATTTCTAGTATGGAATGAGTCAATCATCCACTTTGGTATCTTATTGACCAAAAATGGTGATATTGTTCCTCCATTGATCAAGAATTTCGGTTTTTGAGAAGTATTATGATCATCCAATAAGAAAGGTTTCAATTTTTTCAAATGAACGATTTGAAGACCTATTGATTCTAACAACTGATTGCAAAGTTGATCATTCGGACCTTTCAATTCATAGATGTGGATCTCAGACCTATGAATGGGGATATTCCCGAAACTCACAAAGAAAAAAGACAAAGGAAGTGAGTTTAGAAGGAAGTGAGTTAGACAAAAAGAGAAGAAACTTGGACAAAAAAACAAGTAACTTGGACAAAAAGAAACGAAGTGACTTAGACAAATCTTTTTTGTCAATAACCTCAGACCAATCAATTGAATATTGATTAATACGTAATCGATCGAAAACTACTTGAAAAAGAAAACGGCTCTTTTGCTTAGAAATAAAATGTTCCAAATATTCCTGGAAATTTTTGCTTCCATTAGACCATTTGTATCTATATGCATTAGGATCCCAATTATGGATCTCTCGGTTCGAGAAAGAAAAATAAGAGGATCGAACCAGTTCTTCTGACTTCTTCTGACTCTGTTTCAAAATTCGATAAATGTTGTTTGATCGTATATTTTCATTATAGTTCTATGATTCAGATCAGAGTATCATTTCCTATTTGATCCCTTGAATTCCATATTCAAAGTTGCGATCGGATCTATTCATTAAAAAGAATTGAGTCAATACATTTCTTATGTACCCATAGGTACTATGTTGGATTTGAATTAGATTTAGGATCAATCCATATTGATTGACTGCCTCCATTATGTTATTGCTAGCAAATACCACTATTTTTTTTGTTTTGGATCTTCCAAATCATTCCCGCAGGAGATCCAGACCCATTTTTTTATGATTCTTCGATAAAAAATTCATTCTCTGCATAAAAAATAGGAGGTAGAAGCAATAAAGATTTCTTTTTCGATTCACCCCTGGAGTTGAATACCTCATTCAAGAATTGTTTTTGATCCAATCCGTAAGAATCAATAAAAAAGGTAAATCCCTTATGATACACCAGATCCAACTTGGTTATTGATAGAGTGAATAGATCTGCCATTTCTTGAAATCTCTCTTCTAATTCAAAATCGTGATCAAAATCGTGGTGTAACGTGTATCCCCTCCTGTTCTGGTCATGGAATAGATGAAATAAATCAAAAAATGGATTTTTGTTCAAGAATGAAATCTTATTGGAACTGCCCAGTTCATCCTTCGGAACCATATCACATCCCGGATCTGATGAAATAGGATGAATTGAGACGGTATTTTGTAAATACGTAATTATCTTGAATATATTAACTATTTCTTTATTTTCCGATCGCCTGGAAGGGACAAAAGAAACATCTTGTTCTTTCTTCAACAATTTCTGATCTCTAGTGGACCTCTCAGTAGGGTTCGAACCCAGATGAAGTTCTGACCATCTATCAGAGAAAAAAGAACGAATGGATCTTGTAGGATTCCCAAGAAATTCTTCGATTTCTTCCGGAAGCAGATGATTATTCATCCGCTTCTCACGTTCCGTGAATAGCCGGGACATTGAGGAATATCCAGAAAGGCACTTAGGGAATCGGTCTGATTCTATCTCCGTTCGTTCCGTTTGAAGAAAGGAAGGATCCCAAAGAATCGATCTTTCTTTTAGTTGTTGAATCTCTCTTTGATT